AAAGGGGGTCCAACCCGTTACTAGCATGGGGTACCTAATAAATTGGCCGGTGAGTGTATATTCTTATTATGAATAAATATCATGAATATAAAAACATCTGGATGGATAGATGGAGACGGTTATTAAAAATGGGTTTAAAACTGGTATTTTTACTAAATTAGATTTATTTTGGTTTCTTTTCTTGCGGCCCCAGACAGATTTGTTCTTTGTTTTTTAATATGGTTCTCTGAACAGTTTGGGTTGCCGACCCCTGCCCTAGTGGATCCTGGTCTCCATGAACCAGACATCCTCCATCAGAAGCGCTCACAGCGCCGGTGTAGGTACCAGTGTCACTACCTGATCCGTCCCCGAAGCACGATCCGTTCTGCGCATGCGCAAATGAGCCGACAGCGCATGCGCAGAACGGATCGTGCATGAATATAAAATAATCTAGATACTGGATAATCCAGATACACATCCAGGTCGTCCTTGTTTTATTTTTTTAAAAAGACCTAAATTACGTTTTCCCTCCCCAAAAATACTAAACGTACTAAAATATAATGTGTTAAAGGTTAATAATTTATTTTCTGAGAAAATAAATGCCTTAAAATCCTTTCTGTTTTATCACTTTCTGCCCGATCTGCTCCAGAAGCGGGATCCTACGCTACTTCCGGTGGCTAACTTTTTCAGCTTTGGTTTTAAACATAAATCTAGTCTTTTTGTTTCGTTTTAACCTTATACTATATAGTGCGTAATCTGATGAAAGAAACAACTAAAATGCAGATAAACAGGGTTTAATCATATTTTGCTGGACTGCTCTGATCATGTCTAAAGATGATGTCAGAAAAGCAGTTTAACGAAGAAAATGTAAAAAGCGTCAAAATTGTCTCACAAAAGTCCCAAAACATTTTTTAAATATGTGTATTAGCATTCTTTATTGAGTTAATATACATTGTGTCCATAAATAATGCAAATATGGTGCTAAAACTACTTATTTCTATCCTTCACTCACTAAAGAACGCTAATACACATGAGTAAAAAATGGCGGATTTAGGAAATTTGGGGCCCTAGGCAAAGACAGGCATGGGCCCCTTTTAATGGAGAAGACAACACATAAAACAGACCCATTCTATAGATAGAGAAATGTTAATAGAATAGACATCCATTATCTGTTCTCTTCTTGTTCCTTTTCTTCTTGTTTTCCTCTCTATGTTTTGTACTCAGCTGACTTTTCATGCTGTCTCTAAAGGAATGAAAGATTTTTT